ATAACCTTTGATTTTATTTTTTCTTTTATTTTAACTTTTTTAGATTTTATTTGTTTTTTATTTATTTATTTGAGAGAGAGAATGAGAGAGAGAGCATGAGACAGGGGAGGGTCAGAGGGAGAAGCAGGCTCCCTGCTCGCCCGATGTGGGACTCGATCCTGGGACTCCAGGATCATGACCTGAGCTGAAGGCAGTCGCTTAACCAACTGAGCCACCCAGGCACCCTGATCTTTGATTTTATATACATTGAATCATACTGTTGTGGAACTTAAATTTTCTCCTTAGTAACACATCTTGGAAATTTCTCCCGAGCAGTCCACGTAGATTTGCCCCTTGTTTTTTAAGGTCTATATTGTATTCCCTTGTATGTAGGGACCACCCTTGATGTCGCCAGTCCCCCACTGCTTGACACTATGGTTGTTTCCAGTTTTTGCTATTTTGAACAATGCCACAATAAACTCCCTTGTACCTGGGGCTTTGGTTGTTGCTACACATAAACCCATAGGATCCTGAGCCGGAGTCAAGAGTCAGATACTTAACTGACTGAGCCACCCAGGCTCCCCTATGCAATTTTAGTGGTTGGTATCAACTCACCTCCAAAGGGGTTGTAGCAACTGACATTTTGACCCATAGTGTATGAGAATGTCTGTGTTCTGCAGATTCACCAGCTCTGAGTGAAAATTATCACACTTTACAATCTAGTAAGTAAACCGTTATTAAAAAATAACCGTAATAATAGACATGTGGTGTAGCCGTACATATTAAGTGATCTTATCTGCAAAGATGAATGTTCACAATCACCACGGAGAAGTGGGCTAGTTCCCCTTTGAACAGAGGACAGGGAGGCTGCAGGGACTTGGACCAGGGTCTGAAGATTAGCTCCACTGTTTATTATCCCAGTGACCTTGGCTACAGGTTCATCAAGGTTCTCTGTCTACAAAAGGGTGATATTAAATGAGATAAAGCATGAAAAACCTCCTAAAACTAGTGTCTGGAGCCCAGTAAACATTGATTAATATTAGGAAGCAAGCCAGAGTGCTAGAGTCCCTGGCAGGTTTGAGAAGGACCCGACTCATAACAGAGACCTGGGTTCTATTTCCCTCGCCTTACTACTACCTTGCCACCCTGCTTAATTTCTTTGAATTTTATTTGGATCCTTCCCATTCATTTGCTGATCTGGAGAAATGTGAGTGGGGAATTGAGCCACCACACAGATGGCAATTTAAACGGACTGGCGGAGACAGGCAGCATCACGGCAAAAGAAGGCGGGTGGAATCTCAGCTCCACATCTGTCACTGAGGCAGCAGAGACAAGTTTGGGGCCAGATCCACCTACCTGCAGTCCTGCTTCTGCCCCTTAGAAGCCAGATGAGCGGGGGCAAGTTCTTGCAGCTGTCGAAGCCTCAGTTTTCTCAATTCTAAAACATGGATAACAGTAACTACTTCACGCGTTATCGTGAGTGTGAAGTACGAATCTATGAAAGCACTTAGCAGCTGACCCCTGTTAAATAGTCAATATATTCATAGACAGCAAAATGTCTCACTGTCTGATCCTAGCTTACTGGCAGATCAGGAGGGACAGGATGCTTCCGCAGAGTGGAACAAAGAGAAATGTTAGCAGCCCTCATCTCCCAGTCACGCTCTCCATTTGTCAAGGTGACTCACACAGTCCTTTTTTCACTTTGGTAACTGTGATCGCGCCCTGGTGTGGTGGGGGTGGTCAGGGCACAGGGCAGACAAAAGCAAGACTGCTAGGGTTTCTTAAATGGCTGTAACTCCAGCTGGGGATCTCTTTCATTCTTCCAGGAAAGAAGTGAGAAAACGTAAATTAAAAATATTTTTCATCGGAACTGCTTAATACACTTAAATGTTTGATTTGCGAAGTGGAAATGCTCATTTGCTGCTATCCTGGACAACATTATTTGGGGATTGGAGGTAGAACATGAACAAGCTTTGGGTTTTTGTTACAGTGTTTCCCTCTTGGTGTGCATCTGCTTCAATTCAAATTTCTGATACGATATAACATATAAATTGCAAATATTAGGCTCTAAATGGGATTTCTCAAAAACACCTTGTGAATTATTAATTAAAATTTTTTTAGGTTCAAAATTTCAAATTTACAGAAAGGATGCAAAGAAAAGCCCAATGAATACTTAGATGTGATATTCACTGTTATTATTTTGTCACATAGGCTAATACATTATTTTTGAGATGTGGAGAGCTGCATTCATATAACATGGTCTCCCTCTCTTTTTTTGCCAATAAAAGAGTTATAGGGATGGATATAGTTATATCAATAGTATGACTCCTAGACACTCAGCTTCCTGAAGTTTGAGATCTGTTTTTCTGTTTGGCTGTAAGGTTGGAATGTAAGGGATCGTGTTTGTAATAACTGCTGGATTGAGGGGCGCCTGGGTGGCTCAGTCGTTAAGCGTCTGCCTTCGGCTCAGGTCATGATCCCAGGGTCCTGGGATCGAGCCCCGTGTCCGGCTCCCTGCTCCGCAGGAAGCCTGCTTCTCCCTCTCCCACTCCCCCTGCTTGTGTTCCCTCTCTTGCTGTGTCTCTCTGTCAAATAAATAAATCTTAAAAAAAAAAATAACTGCTGGATTGATACTTCCCGCACCAAATATACAAGATACATGACCCCTAAGCCCGTTATGGACTGTGCAAGCCAGGTCTCATCACTCCCAATTTCCATATTTGGTAACTGACATTCAGATGTTGGATCACTCCATTGGTAAACTCGGGTTTGTCTTTTTGACTACACATTTCTTTTGGGGGATTCTCAGAAGGACATTTTAATGACAGCATATGGAAAGTTTTAACTTGCGTTTCTGGTAGAATTGCAATGTTAATTTCAGGTAATTCCTTCCACCAAGGTGGGGTTGGGGAGGGGGGCAGTGGAAGGTGGAGTGTTATGGAAACCGTAGTCAGGACTTTAGTGATAGAAACCAGAAACAATAGGGGCGCCTGGGTGGCTCAGTTGGTTAACTGAGGTCTGATCCCAGGGTCCTGGGCGGGAGGACCCCCTCCTGCAGGGAGCAGGATCCCCTGCTCAATGGGGAGTTTGACTCTCCCTCTCCATCTGCCTCTCTCCCTCCCCTCATGCTCTCTTCCTCCCTCTCAAATAAATAAATAATATCTTAAAAAAAGAAAAAAGAAAGAAAGAAACCAGAGATAATGAACTAACCTTACCTCAGCCTCAGAAGACTCTTTTTGGGATGGCCTCTTACTAGCCATGTCCTGTGGGACAAATCCCCCTAACGCCTCCTCATTTGTGAAATGGAGACAGGAATCAATACCTTGTTACCTGGGTTTTTGGTGAGACTCAATTTTTATGAATTTTGATGATATTTATTAATACAAGGAATTGGCATATCATTTTATTTGTAGGAGAAGGAGGGAGAGAGAAAGGAAGGAAGGGAAAGTGGATAGGACATTTTTATCTGTAGGAAAGAGAGGGAAGGAGGGGTAAAGATCTAGGTAGGATGGCAGAAAGCAAGGGAGGCTTAGTTTCCTGAGCCTGGAGGGGAAGTTGACAGAAACTCACAGTCTGGGGAGAGAAGAAAGCATCATTTAGGGAATTCCGTTAGTTGCCGTGTTCCAGAGAACCCATCCCCAGAATGTTCCTTCGTGTGGCTGCGGGAGGACGAGGCGTGGGCTTTTGAGACCCCCGGCAAACTTCTTTCCAGACCACGGGGCACCCTGGCCTGCGCTCTGGCTTCCAAGGTACCCAAAGGATGCTTTTTCCTTGTTTCCCCGGGGCGGCCAATGTCAGGATTTAGAAAGCTAGTGCGCCCAACGCACGGTAAGAATCTTCTGGATAACCACCCTCCGTGAGCTTTGCCCAGCTCCTAGATGTTTTTGCGCCACCAGGTGCCTCCCCAGACCTCCACCCGCTGCCAGAACATTAAGCTGCACCTTGAGGGGTAGGTCCTCAACGCAAGAGCCTGCGTCCACAGCTGCGAGCTGGTGTGTGCGGGTGAACTGGCGCACACCTGCGCTCCGACAGCGAACCGAACTGCAGAAGCGGTGACGGTGGCGGCGCGATGTAGGTGAACTCTCTCCTTTTCATCCTTTACGTGTCCACTAAGATCTCGCCAATAAATAAGAATAAAACGTCTGCTTGGTTTTGTCTTTGCGCTCCCGGGATCGTAGCGGGTCTTTTAGAGAAGAGAGAAAAATGAAGAGAAACCACGGCGGCCCCACCGGCTACTTCTGGAGACCCCTGAAATCTGCAGCTGGAACTGCCAATTTGGAGAGCCCTCCGGCCTGGTCATCTAAGACCCGGGGTAACAGGTCCCCCCGAACTGGGGGAGGGTCCGGGCTTTTCCCCCCGCCGGGTCGGGCCCTTCAGCCAAGAGTGGCGCTGGCGAGGCTCCAGACGCGGGAAGGTGCCAAGCCCGCTCACTTCGCATTGGGGATGCGCGCGGACGCCCCGGGCGCGCCCTGTCCGCCCCTCTCGGCAGGAGCGCGCGGAGTGGCGCGCGCGGTCCCCGGGGACAAGCCCGAGGCCGCCCGGCTCCGCTGAGAGGCGAGAGCCCCGCGGGCTGCCGCCAGTTGGTGCGCGTCTCGCCGCCTCACGCAGTTGCGCTGCGCTGCGGAGAGCCGGGCCGGGGACCCTGAGAGCGCACGGCGGCCGGTGCCGTGCGCCAAGCTGCCTCTTCGCTCGGTGCGCTCGGGGTCGGCGGGCAGAGCTCCCCGGACCACCCCGGCGCCGAGCAGCCCCCGGGGGCCCCCGCGGCTCCCGCCGGACGGGAGACGCCCCCTGGCCCCCGCCCCCGCGTAGCCCCGCGGGGCTGGCGGGAGCTGCCGGAGGAGGAGGAGGAGCAGGCGGCGCCGCCGGGACTGCCTCCTCCCCGCCCCTCGCGTCTCCTCCCCGCGCCACCGGGAAGGACGAGGGGACTGGGCACGGGGACCCCGGCCAGTGAGCGCCCGTGCCCCGGGGCCGCCCTTTGCGCGCGCTCTCTCGCCTCGAGCCTGGGGCGGGTGTCGGCTCACATGGTGTTGGCCGCAGCCATGAGCCAGGACGCGGATCCCAGCGGCTCCGAGCAACCGGACAGAGATGCCCGCAGCGTGCCGGGTGCTCCGGCGCCCCCCGCGCCCCCAGGCCCGAGAGGGATGCAGCCACCGCCGCCGCCGCCGCCCCCAGCCGGCCTACCGCAGATCATCCAAAAGTAAGAGGGGGGAAAGCGGAGAGGGGATCCCGGGTGGGCTTGGGGGACACGCCCCGGGCACCCCGCTCCGTGGCTTCATTTCTCCCGTCGCTGCTGAGCTCCGCGCGGCCGCCTTGCGTTTGAAGTTTTCTTGTCCTCCCTCGGCAGATCGGTGTCATTCTGGCTGTTCGTGAGGTTGGGGACAGGGAAGCCAAGTTATTTGGGGAAAATAATTTTGTTTTTCCTTATCCCCTTTTTCTTCAGCGACGTTACTGGATATTTTGAGCTAAAGTAGCTCAAACTGGGGGAAAATGGCCCAGAGAGTATGGTTCATCTTTCCGGTCCCAGAGGCCGCAGGAATGTGTGGAGAGCCGGTGTGAGTGTGTGCGCGCCCGTGAGGGTGTGTGAGGAAAAGACCACCACGGGCCATGGTGCCCCTGGAGTAGTCAGCCGGTAGCATTGGGTGGAAAGGATGGTGAGGGTTTGTAAACAGCACATTTTGCTTTGCCGCGAAAGAAGTGTCTACGCTTTTCAAGGAGGCCCTTGCGAGGAAGAGTTCTTAGCCGCGCCACCGTTTTTCATGAATGTTACCATCTTGATTCTGGTGCTGTGCGAATCTTACCGAGCTGGGCTTCCCAACTCCTGAGTACGTCGGGATGGTCAACAGGCTCCTAGAAGGTCTTTCAGCCCATTTTGGGGGGCGTAACAGTAAAACAGGGATGTTTTGTTGGTTCTTTCGAGATTTTGTTTGATAGTTTAAGGCCTAGAAGGTTGGTTTTTGAAGGATCTTTATTCCCCTGAAGGCTTCCCTCAGCTCGTACTGAAGTCAAGACCGGTTTAAGAAAGTGTAGGAGGGTCTGAATGATGAATGCTTGGGTGAAACTGACGGTGCTGGAGAAAGGCACTAAGTACAGCAAAATCAACCGTATTTGGGGGGGGGGGTCCCAGCGCTGCTGTATTGATGCTTTGAGTTACGTAAACGTTTGAAAATGCAGTAAGAGAAATAACCAGTGATGGGTTGTAAGTGGAAGTAAATGGCACTTAAATACTGCTTTAAAGACTGACTTTAGAAAGAATACTGAAAATTCAAGTTTCACATTAAAAAACGCCGGCATATTTCTGAACAAAATGGTTCCCCTTTTTTGACTGGTGGACTGCTAAAGTTTCCATTTGTGACAACTTTCTGCTTTAATTCGATTTTATCTGACTTTCAACTACTAACAAGCTGCTAACTACTTGAACATGGAAACAATTTAGATTATTTTGTTCCTATTGTTTTGCAAATTATTTAAGCTAAGATTTAACTAAATATGATGGACAGTTTAAGTACATCATTACTTAAAATGTATCTTTAGTTCTTGATATAAATATAAACTAACAGAGAAAAATATATTTAAAACCTAAAGTTTCTTTACTTAAAAAAAAAACTAATTGACCAATTACTAATTGGAAAACATCTAATGTGCTACCAGGCCAGTGTTTTGTGGCTTGAGATTAGGCTACCCATTAAATTTATTGAGTTTGCTTTGGTACTGTAATCACCATGCATTTTCCTGTCATTTACTTTTAATTAGTAAAAAGCTAGGAATTTTATGTTCACAGAAATATCTTTGTAGATAGGTGTCTGATTTACCCTGTTAGCCCCATTTTGAAAATTCTATCTCTGGAATATCTTACTTTAGTAGATAAGAGCTTTTCAAAGATGTCCCCTTCTGCGAATAGCCCAGAATGGGGACTTCAAGAAGCGCCTGATGGCTCTGCCTCGTTTTGTATTGGTGACAAATCAGTGTTCAGAGGCCACGTTGAAGGCCGGTGAATGTGCGCATGGAATTGGATGTTTGTGCACTTATGTTTCAAAAACGTTCTTTATAAGGATGATTTGGGGTTTGGTCCCCTCAGAACCCACTGAAACTGCGCTGGAACCAGGCATAACATGGCAAATGTTTTGCAGGTCCATCTTCAATGCGCTGAAACTTGAGCAGGTTATTTTGAAACTACGTTTGCATAATTTAATCTGAGCAACCATTTTTAATGTAGTTATGAGGTGCTGTTTGCATCAGCCATCTTTGAGAAAACCTAGGGGAGAGATTGCCCTCAGCTGCAGAATCAATTGCCTACATTTTGATTGAGAATTTTGTGAGCTAGAGCTTTGGATAAAATTCTTCTCCAGTGGATCACATATTAAATACATTTTATTGGGGAACCTTTGTTTATTCTAGCTATTTTAATGAGGTCATTATATAATTCGTAAGAGGAGAAGTTTTGAACTCTTTCAAAATGAAGATATCAATCTTTTTCATGTGCATAGTGTTTAAGGATTACGAGAATTGTTTTCACTTCTTAATGTCCTTGTTAATGGTTTTCATTTATATCGGCTTGCATTTTGGATAAAGTCAAGGACTATGATAAAATAATAGTCATGATCATAATAAAAGCCTGTTCCTGTTAATGTGTGTCATATTTGGCCTTGGGAGAACTGCTGTATACTACATTTAAGTAGCTAAACTACATGAAGTATGACGACGAATAATGAGACTGATTTTGATATTTGTTTTATGGATGCCAGTCTTGGTACTCAGGAAAAATGCATCAAAAGTTAATTTCGGTAGAGTACTTTTGTTCTACTCAGGTATACTTAATTTTCTTGTTACTGCATTCTTAGTTTCAGTAAAGAATCGCCCATGACCTTTCTGCTAATATTAACCCCTGACTCCTGGCCAATATTAGCATCACCTATAAAGATTATCAGCCATGTTTAGACATATAACTAGTATTTTGTCAGATCTTTGTTTTAAACTTGTCTTCTCTGAGTTGGCCAATGTGAAGATATTATTGGGTAAGATGTAAAGCATTGTGTAAACCATGTGGGCAATACAAAATATAAAATAATATAAATAAATATAAATAACTTAAGAGGAGATTTAGAATGAGCTTAGGAAATCAGAATAATTTGATGACTTAAAATATATATATTAGCAGAAGTAAAACAACATTGACTGATGAGTGTTGGTGAAAGTTTTATAAGGACTTATCTCCTTAAACATTCACAATATTTTATTTCCAAAAGTATTTTGTTTTAATTTTGTGCTTTCAAATCAAACCTAATTCTTGATTCACGAGAAGTTATTTATTAACCTTGATGAACAGCAGAAATGAAAATTTAGGTTGTAAATTTTAAAACTTTCTTCCAAATGGAAATAGAGTCAGTCAATTCTGTGTGAAATATTGAAGTCAGTTGTCAGATGCAACTATAAAGTGTTACTACTCATGGTGAAAATTAACCAAACAAGCACACACACCTTTTGTGAGGCGAACACATAGGTGATTTTCCTAAATTATTTGACTTGCGGCAAAGTATTACTATCTATTACATGATATGAGATTGTGCATTTGAGTATAGGTGAGTTATTTTATTTCCTTTCCAGATTATTTTGATAAGCAATGAATAAAGATCAACTATAAAAATAGAAAAGGTTTCGGTTTAGAATTTGATAGCGAGTGTCACCTGCACGTGTTCATGACTTAGGAGGATATAAATCCAACTTTGATTTCTTAAGGTTATAGTTTTCTGCATTGCATTAGGACATGGGCTGACTGTTTTTAGAGCAAAGGCTCCCCTGATTCAGTGTAGAAAATGTTACAAGTAGTTATGCTTGCAGATAATTTTACAGACATTCTGCATTTGGAAGGAGCTCCATGTAACTTTCAGGGAACAACGTGGAGGCAAGCTGTGTAGGATGTCCATGCACTTTGATGGGCATGCTGACATCCAGAATCGGGGAGGAAATAAGAATTTTCCCAAAACGGACATTACCTCACACTCATACTTGGTCATTTCTGGAAAGAGGATGGAATTTCTAACATCTGTGCCAGTTTCTAACATCAGTTTGAGTCCATTTTTAGGGAAAACAAGGGTACACTTGTAGAAAGAATTTTGAAAATTTTGAACACAATCTTAAGCTGCACGTTGGACAAGTTTTCAGCAGGAGAAAGCGTCTGAGAGGATTAAGTGTTTACCCAAGACAGGGAAGGAGAGAGAGTGGGTTCTTTTCTTAGCATTCTGAAAAGTTTCTTTGCTTCTCTAGAAAGGTATTTTTTTTCTTAAAAAATTTTGCCTTAGAGTTTTTGTGATAAGTATTTTTAGATAGCAAGTATAGCCATCCAGTTATGAGTTTTTTTTCAAATTGCCAAAGAGATCAGTATTATGAAATGTAGTATGTTATTCCCATTAGTCATGGTAAATGGCTATACATATGGTGAACACAGAGCTGTTCTAATGCCAGTGCTGGGGGGGGGAAGAAAAAAATTATCACCCATTTTATTCTTCTATCTACTTATTCTTTTGTTACCTCCTTAGCAGTTTGTCAGATTAATAATTTTAAAAGCCCAGATGTGTCTGTTGGAATGAATTCTGATCTGTTAAGATCTCTTTGCCTGTCCTTATAGTCACCAGGGGGAAAAACCCCACCAGGCTTGACTTGCAGTGAAATGAGCCCACATTTTCTAGTGTCTCTCTCTTTCTCTGATTTATTTTTCTTGTGGCTGCAGGTTTCTTGATTCCAGTTAAACTAATATTTCTTCCCTGCCCACAACAGCTAATCCTTAAGTAAACAAGCCAGTACAGTTTAATTCACAGCACCGATAAACAAGAATCTAAAAAACGTTAGGAACTGGGATCTAACTGAGGGATAGAATTAAAATGGACTGAACTAAACACGGAAAGCAAGAATGGAAGAAGCTTGAGAAAGTGGACTTAAAAAACTCCAGACAGATACTGGGAGGCAGGGCACCCCTCTCCCTTTCTCCACCCTGGTCCCCCTGCCAGACAGAAGCTTGAAGGGGTCTCCTGTGTCACAAAATCCCACTTAATCTGATTTTTATTTCCTGCCACAGTAATTATCTTGTTTAGGATGGTCTAATTGATATGATCTTGTATATTTAATAGGGAAGGTTGCTGTGGATCCACAGCTGGTGTCAGTGACTGGTAGCTGTATTTAGAATTAGTGCATTGAAAAGTTTTA